AATAAAATGTAACTTTTAGATCACTTATCATTGTACAATTTGGGGGTATTTAGTACATTCACAATCAAACCATCACTATCTAGTTCCAGAATTACTTTTGTCATTCCAAAAGGAGACTCTGTACCTAGTAAGCAGTCACTCTTTGTTCCCATTTCAGTAAAATCATGAACTTAATTTCTTTAAGCCATTTTTTCATCTTATCCATAAAAGGTCAGACTGACAATCCAGAAAAAAAAATCTTCCAAGAAATCCAGTGGGAATAACTATATTGTCACATATGTCATATATTTGAAGACTAATTAAAAACATGGTTTTATTCTGGGGGCACCTGGGTGGCTCAGTCAATTAAGCGTCCAACTTCAGCTCAGGTCATGATCTCATGGTCTGGGAGTTGGAGCCCCTGCATCTGGCTCTGGGCTGACAGCTCAGAGCCTTGAGCCTGCTTCCGATTCTGTCTCTCTCTCTCTGCCCCTCCCCTACTCTCACTCAAACACACACACACACACACTCTCTCTCTCTCTCTCTCTCTCTCTCTCTCTCAAAATAAATAAACGTTTAAAAATTTTAATAAAAAATATGGTTTTATTCTGGCTAAGTTTTAGCCCTATTTCTAGGAGTAGGATAATTTCTTTTAATGTTTATTTTTGAGAGACAGAGAGAGACAGAGCACAAGCAGGGGAGGGGCAGAGAGAGGAGGAGACGCAAAGCAAAGCAGGCTCCAGGCTCTGAGCATCCCTTCTCTCTTATTCATGAATACCAAGGACTTCCAGGAATATAAGGAAAGGCTTTAATGTGACAAATAGATCCAAAGAAACAGATTAGAGCAACTTGGAAGAAACAGTGGATTCTATGGATTCTTTAAAGATTTAACAATTTTCTGAGAGATAATATTCCGCTCAAAACAAAAGCAGTTATTAAAAAGAAACATCTAGAAAGCAAAGCAAAGCTCTTGGAAATTAAAAAATATGGTGACAGGGGAAAAAATCAATAGGACTGGAAGATAAAGTTGAAGAAACCTCCCCAAAAGTGGAACAAAATTACAGATGGAAAAATAGGAGAAAAGATTAAACACAGCAGGTCAGTAAAGGAAATCCATCATCTGAACAGTAAGAGTTCCAGAAAAAGAAAGCAAGAAAACAGTGGAGAAGCAACATTCAATGAAGTAATTAGATTTTCCAGAACTGAAGAACATTAAGATTTTGATTAGAAGAGTTCAGAGTGCTGAGCACATAGGGTGAAAACAGACCATCACCAAGATATATCATCACAGATCACTGGGGGAAAACAACAGTTCTAAGATCTTCAAGAGAAAAGAAAACTGGTCACATAAATATGTCTTCTAGCAGCCATAGTAGAGCAATGCCTTTGAAATTCTGGATGAAAATGATATCCAACTGCATGCTATTAAACTTATCAATAATAGAAGATAATAAAGTCATTTTCAGACCCTTACAATCTTAAGCATTTTACCTGTCACACAAATTAAACATGGGAACACACAAGACAAAACCAGGAAATCCAACATAAGAGGCAAAGGGAATCACAAGGATGGCAATATGCAGTGGAGGGAAATTAGTCAGAGTGGAGCAGGGGTAAGGGCTCGCTCCATAGCTGTGCTGACCTTCCCCTCAAAGTGAATGAAGGCACAGTGAAAGTCAATGGAACCATCACTTTTATTGATGATTTTAACAAGAATGATAGTGGATGGAAGAGACCAGGAAAAGTGTATGTTCCTAACACAAATGATGTAAACAGAACTTTAGGACTCTCTTTTTCTTTTTTTTTAAATTTGTTTTTTTTCAACGTTTATTTATTTTTGGGACAGAGAGAGACAGAGCATGAACGGGGGAGGGGCAGAGAGAGAGGGAGACACAGAATCGGAAACAGGCTCCAGGCTCTGAGCCATCAGCCCAGAGCCCGACGCGGGGCTCGAACTCACGGACCGCGAGATCGTGACCTGGCTGAAGTCGGACGCTTAACCGACTGCGCCACCCAGGCGCCCCTGGACTCTCTTTTTCAATTAATACCTCAGCAAGAGCATTTTTTTCTAAAACTGAAAAGCAGAAATAAAAATCTTGCTTAACTGAAAGGAATTCTAGGGACTCCTGGGTGGCTCAGTCGGTTAAGTATCCAACTTTTGATTTCAGCTCAGGTCATGATCTCATGGTGGTTTGTGGGATGGAGCCCCTACGTTAGGCTCCACACTGGCAGTACAGAGCCTGCTTGGGATTCTCCCTCCCTCTCTCTGCCCATCCCCCACTCATGCAGATACACAGGAAGTTGCTTACAACAGTGGCCTACAGGAGTGGTGAGCCTCTGGGAAAGAAAGGAGACTTTGCCATTCACTGTTTTATTCTTTTTACTTGTGTATCCCAAATAGTAATTGTTCAAATATGAATATATTCCCTAAGTTAAAGAGATGGAGAGATGGAGTGAAAAAAACTGACCATGTATAGTAGCATGTAGTTTAATAAAACTTACCTCAGTTTTAAGTATATAAAACTATTTAATATATATTAATATGTTCACTATAACTGTACTTAATGGATGGTGATGGAAACCGTTTCTTTTGTAGGCTACAAAGAAGTTTGAAAGTGCTAAACCAAATGTCTCTGTAACTATAAAAATCCTTTCCTACAATACTTACTGAGCAGCCACTGGGTCTTGGCTCCTACCAGATCTAAAATGTTTGTGCACCAGTGGGTTAGATGCGTATATGGAATCAGAAAACATCCATCTTTCTGTTAGTATCCAGGTGCAGTGTCCATTTGTGTCTACTCTTGGCCTTCCTATATAACTTAGTGCTTGGGAGAGACTCTAGACAATTGAGAATTTAGGGCTTTGTAGAATATACCACTTTGAAGAAACTGAAAAAAAAAAAAAAGATGACAGGACACTATTGTTACATCATTTTTTTAAATAAGGGATTTTTAAAAAAATGTTTATTTACTTTTGAGAAAGAGAGAGCGCGAGTGGGGAAGGGGCAGAGGGGGAGGGAGACACAACCTGAAGTGGGCTCCAGGCTCCTAGTTGTCAGCACACAGCCCAATGCAGGGCTTAAGCTCAGGAACCACAAGATCATGACCTGAGATGAAGTCACTTAACTGACTAAGCCACCCAGGTGCCCCTGTTACATTATTTTTTTTTAATCTTGAGGAACATTATTCTAAAATAGAAACATTGTTAATAAAATCATAGGAATCTACTCCAAGATTCCTTAATATCTTTTGTAATACTCCATTCATAAGGCAGAAAACTACCAGGTCTTTCCCTATGGAAGGGTGCAAATGGAATGCAATACTGCATTAGTGCACTGTACAGAAAGAAATCACAGGGAGGACAAGGAAATAATCTTTTAATTCCCCCTCTCCTCCATAACTTTTGCTGAAGAACTGCTCACTTGACATCCTAGAAACTATCTTGCTGAGTTCTGTCACTATAATCTAGAAGCAATGAATCTTCTCCAGTTAGCATAATGAATGTGACACTGCCTACATCCATCCTGTGGGAGAGCTAAAAGGACAAACCCTCAGCATTGCACATCAATCTATTAGAGAAATCATGCATATAGTTATTTTTTCTGTCAAGATCCTCCAATTTAATATTTTTTAAATAGCTAAAATATAATCAAGTTCACATGGAACTATACACAAACATACCCTGTTCACTATTGTTCAGCTTCATAGCAACAACACCATGGGACAGTCAAGGGCACAATCAGTTTTAAAAATTAAGAGTGAGAAGTAAACACAACAGGACATTTGCACAATGGCAGAGAATCCTGTTCTTGGCAGTAGACAGAAAATGATTGGCTAAAGAAATAGTTACAGATAGGCATAATCTAGAGTCTAAGTATCATAATCATAGGATATTTAAATGAGGATATGTATAACTATAGTTGTATATATAGTTATACATATCCTAAAAGTCTAATATTTTATGTTAGTAGCTTCTTATATAAAGGTTAAAACAAAAACCTATGAAAAACCAACCTAAATCATTCTTTCTTTTTTCCTTAATTAACCATTTTACTCCAAGTTTGATTGAAGTCATGAGACAGTCTAGCTTAATGGCCTAGAAAAAGTTTTCTAGTTGCAAGATGCCTTAATCCTTAATTAATAAGCCCAAAGTGAACAATGAATTCGATATAAAAATTGTGAAACAAGGATATACTTCCTAGAATTTGAAAAACAGGAGACTTAAGGCAGATGGTTAACACCCAGAGCCCCTTAAGTTATATTAAAATGACACCCTGGAAATATCTTATAGCAAAACATAATTTTCTCTTAGATTTCATCATATGGGTGAAACTGTTCAGGCCAGTAAAGAATTCATGGGAGAGCTGCGTGGTTAGGCTGCACCAAGGCAATCCCCCTCTGAAGTATCCACAGAAGGAAAATGACTTGGTACCCTGTGGTTTGTACTTATCCTCAGCAAGACAGCCTAGTCCCCTTAACCCACTGTGTACCTGGGAAAAGATTGTAAAAATACTTCTGTAAGAGGTAAAGACAATAAGAACCTATAAGTACACTCTGGAAAGATGTGAAAATGTCAGAGAAGGAGCACCACATGCTGATTTTAACAGCTTTTTTACTGGAGGAATCTGTTGTGTATACACCATAGGAAAATTGTACCCCCCCAACCCCCAGAAAAAGGTCATGCAGAAAAATCAGATTCATAAAAGAATGTAATTCAAAGTAGGCAAAAATATGGCATATGTTTTAAAAAAATATGCAAAATAATTTCACTACGGAATACCTTAATTGGCATGTGACTTAGTACTATTTACTATTAGCCAGATCTGATTATTCTAATAAATCTCTAATATACCTTTTCTGGAATATCTATTTTTAAAATATATCTTTTTTTAAAATTTTTATTTTTAATTAATGTTTATTTTTGAGAGAGAGACAGAACACAAGTCGGGGAGGGGCAGAGAGAGAGGGAGACAGAATCCGAAGCAGGCTCCAGGCTCTGAGCTGTCAGCTAAGAACCCAACGACAAACCATGAGATCATGACCTGGGCCAAAATCAGACACTTAACCGACTGAGCCATCCAGGCGCCCCTAAAATATATCTATTTTTAAGACAGAACATAAAACCTGTATTTGTGAATCCAGTATAAGCTATCTTGCCTGGTATCTTCATGGATCCAAGATATTAAAAGATTAATAAAATAATTCTTTAAAAACCTCAAGTTACAGATTTAACAAATAATATATTTCCTCAAGTTTTCTGGATTATCCTACTAAAAATAACTTGTATTAATTAATGTACTCTGGATTTCCAGATATAAATACCAGTCAATGGTTGGCTGGCCACTGAATCATAAGTAAAATTATTCTTAGAATTGGGTCATAATATATGGAATGCCTTAACTTTTCTTAGTTCAAACCCTGTAATTTTACCCTAAAATACATAATCATGTCCTTTTATGTGCTTTAAGCTGACATATTGACTGTGCAGTCTATACTTTGTAAGACAGCAGGTAACTCTAGCACAGAAGAAATTATATAATGTGGCATGGGGGATGACTTCAGTGGCATTATTCCATTTTTATTTATCCAGACTGTTGCTTTTAGCCCTGCATTAAGACCTCCTTGTATATCAGTTTCTAGTGTGTCACCAACCATCACACAGTCCCCAGGCTGTACTCCAAGGAGACTACAGCAGTAATAAAATATGGAAGGTGATGGTTTCTCTTCTTTCTGCTCTCCACCTACAACGATAGCATCAAAATAGGACTGGCAGGCACAAGCCTTGATCTTCTCCCTTTGGGTCTGGCAGTCTCCATTTGTCAGTAAAAGTAGGCGGACCTCCTTTCGAAGTTCAGTGAGCATGGCTTTGACATCTTCTGCTAGTATCATATGCTGTAAACGTGTAGATTTCCACAGGAAATAACATTCTTCAGCTAATATCCTATTAGCTGCACCACCCTTCGTTTCCTGGATTGCTTCTTCCCAATGTAAAGTCCTGAGATCAGTAATGCAAGTACTGGAAGGATGAAAACATTCCTTGCTGAGTTTAACTTGCACTTTGTCACAGATGGTTTTAGCTTCTTCTTTGTAATGGTATTTTGATTGTAAGAGCTTTATCACCTAAATAAAAGAAAATAGGTCTATTAGCACACTTCAGGTCTTTAATAGTCATGCCCTGAGAAGCCACACTCCTATAATCTCAGAGCAGAGATTCTAACTCCATATGTCTGCCTTAAGGCAGCTCTATTAGCATGCCATTTGTAGTAGGAATATAAAAATATAGAGAATACCAGAGTGAAGATCTCCCAACCTCTCTCTACAGAACTCATTCATATATTGAACCGATTTCTATTCTAAGAAGTGTCTTCATAGATAGCTCATAACAACCCTTCATTTGGCAGTCCGCCATCTTTTATTCTGGTTATGAAGAAATAGAAAGAAAACTTATATTGATATTCAGTAAAAACATTTTAAATTCCTCAAAACCATTATTTAGACTCTTCCAAAAATAATGCTGGTTCATCCAACCTTTTCTTATCTATGTCCATTTTATGTTGTGAAGGCCTAAACTGACCACCATATAAAATGGAACCTAATTCTGTTCTTTTAGAAACATATATTCAGTTCTAATGTAATCAAGCATGTTCTGTGATTTCAGCCATTTAATGACCCAGTGCTTTGTCCAAAACTAGTTCTCCAGATAAAAATCTTCAACAAGTTCTGAGTCACACTCTGTTACACTGGTTCTGAATCCCCCATTAGAATTACATGCTCTCACTCATGTTCCACATCTTTTTATCTTAGCTTTTATTGCATTAGATTCTTTTCTATTTGGCCTGTCTTCTAACATTTACTAAGACCCAATGCTCACATACATCATTTCTAACCTTTTCCACAACTCTGCAAGCGTTTTTGAAATGAAGAAATGGAAGTTCAGAACTGTTAAGTAACTTGCCAAGTTGGGATTTAAATCCAAACTTGCCTACTTCCAAAGCACACATGCTTGCCTTTACACTATTGTATTAGGCAGTAGAGACTGGATCTGTTGTCCTTATGACATGATCTGGTGGGGAAAATAAGCAGGTATGTAACCACCATAAATGCTGGCTTGAGTGCCATGACAGTCATGTAAATAACAATGGAAATAAAATTCAAGAAGCAAGTCATTCCACAGGGTTATTGGATAAGGCTTGGCAGAGAAGATAACATTTAAACCAAGGTGTTAACAAGCCAATAAGATGGGCATGGGAGGATAAAATCACTCTAGACAGAAAGAAGAGCATGAACAAAGATGCAGAGCTTAGAATTTTGAGAACTGGGAAAGGTGAGAAGCAGAGTTCAAGATGAAATTCAAGGCGTGTGAGGGAGGATAGTAAGATATGGGGCTAGAGAGGCTATTTGCAACTGTTTGTGAAAGGCCTTCAATCTCAGGCTGGGCAGAGGCTACCCAAATCCCCTTGGTATGCAGTATTCCCATAATGCCTATACCTTCATACTGTGATTAGGTAGACTTCTCTGTTTAAGAGCTTTATTTGACCACAGGAGCACCCATGCACATAGGCTAGGGTGGAAGTGATACCCTGGGAAAAGGCCTCAACCAATGAGGGGCAGAAAATGGTAGATAAATATCTCTGCTTTCTTGTCCCTTGGAAAGGACAATTGAAGCATGTTCTCTTCATGCTGTGTCCCACAGTTCCCTAGCTGTTCACACCAGTAACCTGCTCATTTAAACTTTCCTTCTTTGTATGATTCCACCACTCTCCTAGAGTACTTCCAAGGATCACCTCCCAAATGGATTACCTGCATCTGAAGTCCCTGTCTTAGGGACATCTGGGGAAAGATGACAACACCAAGACATTTTTGGATCTTTGAATGATGAGTGCAAGGCACATAACTGGGAACAAAAGTTATCTGTTGTTGGACCAAAGTGGTCAAACAAGTTTAAATGTGTTGCCCTAGGGGCGCCTGGGTGGCGGAGTCGGTTAAGCGTCTGACTTCAGCCAGGTCACGATCTCGCGGTCCGTGAGTTCGAGCCCCGCATCAGGCTCTGGGCTGATGGCTCAGAGCCTGGAGCCTGTTTCCGATTCTGTGTCTCCCTCTCTCTCTCTGCCCCTCCCCCGTTCATGCTCTGTCTCTCTCTGTCCCAAAAATAAATAAAAACGTTGGAAAAAAAAAATTTAAATGTGTTGCCCTAAACTATATAGGGAACAAGTTGTATGCTACTCACAAGACTGAATTCACAATTCACCTACTGAAAAGGGGAAAGAGATTAATAAACACATCCTTCTTCCTTCGGAGTATAAGATTCACATCAAAAGTAAAGGAAATAGTGCAAGGGGCAAGATGGCGGAATAGCATGGAAGTTTTTTTTGCATCTCTCATCCCTAAAATACAGCCATATCAAAACTAAACCATCCTGCACACCTAGAAAACGAATCTGAGGATTAACACAATTTGCACAACCTGAACCACAGAACTCAGCAGGCACGTTGTGCAGAGAAGTGAACTGGGGGAGAGAGAAGCTGCAGAGGGCAGGGGGCTGTTTTGCTTGTGGAGAGAGGATGGAGATGGGAGGAGAGCAACCCCTCCCTGCCCGAAAGTAGCTAGAGAGAAAAGAAAGAGTTAGCAAGGGACTTAACAAAAAAAGGGAGAAAGGAGAAAGGAGAGGGTTTAAATTCTATTAAGACTCTATAAACAGGGGGGAGCACAGAGCCTGAAACTCCACAGCTAGATACCTGGTGGTGCTCTGGTGAGAAGGGCAAATCACCAGGGGTAGAAAGTGAGGTCCTTGGCCCACATGGGGAGAGGTAGTTTCCCTGCTGGGAGGATATTTGGTAGAGGCAGTGTGGCCACCCCACAGGCAAAGGTCCCAGAGGATCCTGAAGAACAACCACATTTGCTGGTGCTGGAACAAGGACATTAAGTGGGAACCTGGGTGCCAGATGTGTGTTGTGATTTACCATAATCCCTGAAACACTGCTGCTACATGATTGTGAAAATTTTCTGGGGTGGGTTGGCACCCAACCACAGTCTTTGGGCAAAGGCAGGAGCATAGTTCTGCAAATATTACTGGGGGCAGGTGGGCACCAGGCCATTGCTCGGTAAGACTCTCCTCTATAGAGTCATAACAGGTCAAAGCCACAGTCCCTCAGAAGTGAGATGCAAAACACAGCCGCATCTAAGATAAAACTCAGGAGGGAGATGCTGGCCTGGCAACCTGACAGTTTGGTCACAGACAGTGTAAAAGCGGGAATGGACGGACTGGAGACAAAGGACAGGTGCCTGATTGCTGATCGGGGAGAACAGAGTTCTGATACTAGAGACTAGGGAACTGGGTGATACCATTTTACCCCTCCTGCGCAGGTGCATACACCGCTACACGTGCCACAACAATCCACCCCAGTAAGCTAAGAAGCGCCATCTAGTGGAGAATGCAGACATTACACTAAGCCCCACCCAACTGGGCCAACCTTGCTCTTCAGGAACACCACAAATCTCTCTGCCTGCTTACTTTACAGACTATAAAGTGCTTCATAGTTGAACTTCTAGCGGAAATCGATGTAATTTCAATCGTATTTCGGTCTGTTCACTGGTCCATCTATTCAATTATTTTTTTTCCTTTTCTTATTGTTCAATACAGAAAGAGAAAACATTTATTCTCATTTTCAATTTTTGTTAAAAATATCTCTTTAAATTTTTTCTATTTTTTTTTACTTTTTGAAAATTTTCAAATTCTATTTTACTTCCATCATTTCATTTTATTCTATTTCATTGTATTCATTTTTCAAGTTTTCAAACATTTTCCTTTTTTTTCTTTTATTATCTTTCCCTTTTTTCTTTAATCTGTCAAGCTCCTTTCAATAACCAGAAAAACAAACCTAGAATCTAGCATCATATATTTGATTTTATGTGTGTGTGTGTTGGTTTTAATTTTTTAATTTCAATTTTTTTTACCTTATTAATTCCTTTTCTTCCTTCAAAATGATGAAGCAAAGGAATTCATCCAAAAAAAAACAAACAGGAAGAAATGACAGCCACGGACTTAATCAACAATGATACAAGCAAGATGTCTCAACCAAAATTTAGAATCACGATAATACTTGCTGGGGTTGAAAATAGATTAGAATCCCTTTCTGCAGAGATAAAAGAAGTAAAAGCTAGTCAGGATGAAATAAACAATGCTATAACTGAGCTGCAATCTTGAATGTATGCCATGGCAGCAAGGTTGGATGACGCAGAGCAGCGAATCAGCGATATAGAGGACAAATTTATGGAGAATAATGAAGAAGAAAAAAGAGGGAGATTAAGCAAAAGAGCATGATTTAAGAATTAGAAAAATCAATGACTCATTAAAAAGGAACAACATCAGAATCATAGGGGTCCCAGAAGATGAAGAAAGAGAAAAAGGGGCAGAAGGGTTATGTGAGCAAATCATAGCTGAAAACATTCCTAATCTGGGGAAAGACACAGACATCAAAATCCAGGAAGCACAGAGGACTCCCATTAGATTCAACAAAAACTGACCATCAACAAGGCATATCATAGTCAACTTCACAAAATACTCAGGTAAGTAAAGAATCATGAAAGCAGCAAGGGAAAAAAGTCCTTAACCTACAAGGGAAGACAGATCAGGTTTGCAGCAGATCTATCCACAGAAACTTAGCACCCAGAATGGAGTGGCAGGATATATTCAATGTGCTGAATCAGAAAAATATGCAGCCAAGGATTCTTTATCAAGCAAGCCTGTCATTCAAAATAGGAGAGATAAAAAGTTTCCCAAACAAAAATTAAAGGAGTTTGTGGCCACTAAACCAGCCCTGCAGGAAATTTTAAGGGGGATTCTTTGAGGGAAGAAACATCTCTCTCTCTCTCTGTGTATGTGCATGTGTGTGTGTGTGTGTATACACACCAAAAGCAACAAAGAATCAAAAGGACCAGTGAACACCACCAGAAACTCCAACTCTACAAGCATCATAATGGCAATAAATTCATATCTTTCAGTATCCACTCTAAATGTCAATGGACTCAATGTTACAATCAAAAGACATAGGGTAACAGAATGGATAAGAAAACAAGATCCATCTATATGCTGTTTACAAGAGACCCACTTTAGACCTAAA